AGATTTGGGTAAAGAAAAATAATTTAAAAATAATTTTTTATATTATTTAAATAATTAATTATTTTTATTTATTTAAAATTTATAATATTAAATGTATTAACGTATAATGATATATAAAAATAATATAAAAATCATCTCTATACTATCACTTTACTTTAAAAAAATAAAAATAAAAATAAAAAAAATAAAAAAAGAGTAAAACGAAATTTCTTGCCCCTTTTGTGCACCACCCAATTCCTGAATTCCCTCTGGAACCGTCCGATCAAATCCTATCCCTTCGGAGGTTCAAAGATTTTGCGGCGTGCGGATTTCACTTCACTGAGGAAAAAAATTATTCATGAATAGTAAATGAACCGACCCCCAACTTCCTATATACACAACCCCACTCCGTCCCCATAACTCCCATCATCTCAAAGCACAAAGTGTTCTCTTTAACCAAGCAAAAATTTTCTCTCATTTTCCTTCCAAATCCTAACAAACTCTCGCTCTCAACCCTTCACACAGGCTTTTTTTTTAATTAGCAAAGTAAATATATTATTTATGAAGTACAGGACGTAACTCAAAACCCATTATATTACTAAAACATAAAGTTCCATTCATAGCAAAAGCTCCTAGAAATATGACCGGGGCCTACAACAACAGAAAGTAATCAATCACATGTTTTCAAAACATTTACCTGCTTTTAAGGGTGAAAATCCATCATATTTCTATCGGTGTCAAACCTTCTTCCGTGATGTCCATTGAGTGCTGAAGAATCTCAAACTTGTTGTTGCATTCTCATGTAGCCTTTTGTTGGTTTTGAACGCCATTTGTCTTGCACAAGGTCTGAGCATAATGCTGTTTTGCACTAGTAAAATGATCTAAACTTTATCAGCTCAACAACTTGCTCCCTAGTGTCAGCTCCATCTTTAAATATTTTCTGGTTTCGCCAAATCCAAATATACCACATAGTTGCAAATCAAACAACTGTCCACGTTTCCTTTACAAGACCTGTGGATATCATGCCAATGTGTTGCTCAAGATGGGGCCATCCTTTACTGTGAGTAGCTACTTTGAGATCCCACTAGTCATAGCATGATGCCCAAATGCTCCATGATACATTACATTTGAAGAAAAGATGTTCCACGCTTTCTGCTTCTAGATCACACAACACACATTTTTCATTGCCTTGGCCATTCATTCCTCGCTTCATCAAGTTGTCCTTTGTTGGGATTCTATTTTGCAATAATTTCCATGCAAACGCAGTCACTTTGAAAGGTACATTTTTATTCCATACCATATCATAGTTTTGGCCAAAACTTACAGTGTGTTCCATACCAGGCTTGGGTTCCTTTGAACCCGACGCCTGGGTTTCTCGGAACCCAGCACTGGGTTCGTAGAACCCAAGCGTGGGTTCCTTCAAACCCAAGGATGGGTTCAAAGGAACCCGACGCCTGGGTTCCATACCACGCCTGGGTTCGAAAGAACCCAAGGATGGGTTCAAAGGAACCCGACGCCTGGGTTCAAAGGAACCCGACGCCTGGGTTCAAAGGAACCCGACGCCTGGGTTCCTTCAAACCCAGCGCCAGGTTCGAAGGAACCCAGGCGTTGGGCTCCTTCTAACCCAGCGTCGGGTTCAAAGGAACCCCAACGCCTGGGTTCTAAGGAACCCAGGAACCCATGACCCCAATGGAAAGACAATGGGAAGGAGAAAGGGGAAAAAAAAAAAGAAGAGTTTTTTAAGTTTTTTTTTTTGTTATATTAATAATTTTTATCATATTATTATCTTTTTCCATATCACTATTGTTTGCCATGGTGTCTTCCACGTGTTTTGACTTGTCATAGTGTTACCGTGAATTAATATGACACGTCATGCGATTTTTAACGGAGGGATCAAATCGGGGTTAAAATGGTAAACAGTAGGGACCAAGTCAGGAATGTTTTGAGTTGAGGGACTTAATCGGGGGTCCGTACGATAGTTGAGGGACCAAAAAGGGGGTTTAACCTTTTTTTAAAACAAAAAAATCGATTAATTCGGTTTCAGACGGCGTAGTGGACTGTCTGGGCCCAAGAACGGGTCATCGCCCCGTAACTGAAGCCCGCTTTATGGGATCCGAAACCAGTTTAAATCCGACCCGAAACTGTCGTTTCGGGTAAAATTTTCCTATATAAACGCGATGTGTTTCGAGCGTGTACAGAGAGGCTGACTGGAGGGTCTCTTTTGCCAGACAAAAAAAAAAAGACTGGAGGAGGTAACAAGACAAAAAGAAAAGGAAAAACCATTGAAGAGCAAAATCTGCGGAGTAAGGCTGGGATCTTGGCTGCAAAAGGGACTGATCGTGTTGAGGT